CATTTTTAGACGATCTACCAAACATTATCAGACAATCTACAGCAATTTCAATTAATTTGCAACAACCACATTCTAGGATCGTTATTAAGTTAATTCTATATTGCTTTTTTAATCTCAAAACTCTAAAAATTTGTTTAACATTGTTGAAAGCCTCATTAGTAGTTTGACTTTAATAAAAAAAATATTGATGAAGAATATTTTCAAAAACAGAACTTACAGATCTTAAAATCAAATCTTTATCTCCAAGTATTACAAAAATTTCTACATTAGAATTGTGAGTTTGGAATTGGAGAGAATTCCACGAATAATTAGGTATATTTAATCAAAACTCAATACTTTGCTATTGAACTATGATTTTATTAGCATCGATTACTAGATATATTTTCTATATATTATTTTGATTTTGTATTATAAATGTCATGGCACCACACTTAATCTAATTTGGAGCATTTTGCCCTAGGAATAATATTTATTAAATTTACTTAACACAAAGCTTTTTTAATTATATTATCAAAAATGTTATTAATTGCAATTAACCAGCAAAAATAAAAAAGCATGTGTTTTAAAGTGTTGAAGCAAAAACTGATATCACTAGTGCATGATACCAGGTTGTCTGGGTAAAAGATTAGACTCAAGAATCATGCTTAGCTTGACCTTCTCATTTACTTCCTCATTTTTTCATAATATTATTTCTTCCTCACTTTCTCATTCCGATCACAAAATTATCTATTTCTAGGACGAAAGTTATGAGGTGATGGAAGAAAACAGCGCCTCTTCCATGGACCAGTCCGCCGATGTCTTCAGGACGATACCGACTTTGCAGAGCGCCCAGGCGTCCCATGACGGAGGCAGGGGGGGCACCAGGCGCTACTGCTTCAATTTCCTCACATGTTTCGCCTTTACATCACTAACATTGACTTTTGCCACTTTGGCACTGATGTTCGCCTACATCAGCGACAGATCGGTGTCTTCGGTTAGGACTGAAATCAGTTCGTTGGTGGTAAGATGATAAACAAAATAATTAACAGTTTATTTTATTATCCTACTAGCAAACCCGACGAACTCCATTTTGCCACCAGATGGTTTAGTAAGAAAGATGAAGAATTTTTTTTTTGTTTTATATTTGAAAAGGAAAAATGTGATTTTATTATACAACAGTAATGAATTTATTTCGATTACAAAAGTGAAGTGCTTTTTAGTTGAACTTCTCTAAGTAAATGAAAGTGAATCCGCAAATTATCCGTTTCATTGAAGTGCTCTTTGGTAAACCACATTTTTTTTTTGGTCTGACGTTAACACAAACAAAGCGGAATTACTAACTAATTATCTTAACTATAAATCTTGCGGAGCTCGAGACCTTTCCAACGAATGCAAAATCGTCGAAATCGGTTCGTGCGTTCTGGAGTTAAATCGTCAGGAAGGAAAACCTGACTTATTTTCATATATGTAGATAATATTTTATTTAATTTATTAAAGGAGGAAGTCCGTGATGTGCAGGGTAAATTGTACACCATGACCGATGCCTTGGCCCTTATCTCGATGGGCCTGACTGGAGTCCGAGAGAATCTTCTCTCGGAGACAAGTCTAAAAACTGCCATGCAGTATGAATTGCAACGCTATGACTCGGATAAAACTGGGATGACGGATTTTGCACTGGAAAGTGCAGGTATACAATAATACAAATTATCTTTATATATTAGAGATGACCCAACAGACGTTGTTTTGTACCCACGTCTACAATTCAAAAGTTCCAAATTTTTAAGATCAACTACCTAAATAATCCATATCCAATGCCTAAGAAATGAATTTTTGACACACGAAACAAAATTCTAAATCATTTTTTTAATAAGTAGAAAGATTTTTGTATTGTTAAATAATTTAGTAAAGTAAACCAAAATGCGACATGCATGAGTTTAAAAAAATAATGTATAATTTCATCTGCCAAACATATACTGTTGACTGTGTCCTATATTATTTTAATTTCTGGCACAACTCAGCTGCTTTTCGGCAATAATAATGTAGACGTTACATTTTTCTTGTATATTATATTCTAATATTATCTAAACTCATAACGTCAGCTAAATTCAAATTTCAAGTGAATTGACATTTCTAACAGGTGGCAGTTCAAATGTTTTCAATGTCAAACAATGATAAGTGTTTTTTTTTTTTAATTTTTGCAATTTATTTCTACAATATTACTATAGTTTTACTCGTTTAATAAATCTTGAAAATTTTCTTTGACAAACTCTAAAAAGAATTATTAAGATCCGAATAACCGTTTAACCGAATTTCAACATTTTCATTCAAAATTAACTATCCTCCTCTTACCCATCGGACATCAAGTGTATTTTTAGTTACGAGAAAAAATTGGAAATTTTTTTTTTTTTTTTTTGAAAAAGTTAAAAAATATCAGGTAAAAATAAATACACGTGAATTCAGGTAAAAAATGAATACACCCCTTTCCTCTCACGTGATATTTTATGAATATTTGTCTCTATTTCACGAAATTTATTATATTGAATCATTTATCATCTCGATTTCTGTCAGTTTATATTTTTGTATGAATTTCGATTGAGGATTTTTAGAGTTAATGATATAGTTTAAATTTTTTTAGGGATTTTATTATTATTTTTATTACACGATGATTTTACATTTAATTATATCATATATAGATACTGTGGAATTAAAAAGTAAATATAAATATAAAAGCGTGGAGCTTGACTTAAAGGTTCGCGGGTAAAAAGGCCCATCTTATTTACGTCATTTAATTTCTAATTAATTTTTTCTAAGTTACTTTTCTAATAGGTATTATTAGACTTATCTTAGATTCCATAGAGTTTTATATATCCTTTTATCTAAGTAAGAGATAAATTAAATTAATAGTTATTCCAACTCTGGTGATGAATATTTAGTAAAAACTTTGTAGAAAAGTGCTCATGAAATTTGTATTTGGCATTGGATAAATATTGTAGCTTTAGGTTTGGAAACTCTATATTCAAAAATTAGAAATCTGGTAAACGGGACAGATAGATTTTTTTCGAAAAATATCAAATAAACATATTTCAATTTAATTTAATTTTCCAAAAATTTAAGCAAACACTTAACGTTGTTTGTGTGATATGTGTTAAGTGCTTTGATGTATGTTGATTTTCACAGTATATTTACTAAATGTCAAAAAATACTGATATGTTTATTAACTTATCTATTGGGATGCTGAATGGGATATTTCACTCGATGATGCATCTAATACACCTAAACAATCAACCACGGAAATCACGCATACTATTTTCTATCCTCATAACTAAATGCAAAAAAATCGCATTTTTGTTTAGTTCTGGGTACTTCCAGTATTGCATAAACAATATTAACTTTTTTTTCTAGGTGGTCAAATTCTCAGCACAAGAGACACAATACCTTACAACGAACCAAGCTTTTCAATGCTTGGCATACTTTCCTTTTGCTCTGCCAAAAATAGTGCAAGATCATTGATTCAGGTAACAAAAAAATTACACTAATTTTTTTTTTTTGATATTTTTTCTAATAAATCTTTCATCTTTTAGGCTAGTTGTCTGCCTGGAGAATGTTGGGCATTCAAGGGACAGAAAGGAAAAGCTGTAATAAAATTATTAGGCGACGTCCACATTACAGGAGTTAGTATTGAGCATATTGCTCATACTATTAGTCCTAGTGGAGATAATACGAGTGCACCGAAGGCTTTCAGCATATATGTAAGTGATAATTAAAATTTTAAGCATGGGGTAATAGATCCAAGATTCATTATTGGTCTCGAAAGCAAGTAAAGTATACTATTTTAAAGTAGAGGGCAAAAGAAGTGTAACCAGCCATCGCCTTAAATCGGGCGACGTCAATACCTTAACAAAAATATTAATTTTGTTACTATTTTTTTCCTT